GTAACAATAATACACTATTAGACAATAAGCTATTAGAAACAATAAGCTACTAGGAATAAGTGGATCGCTTCTAGTAATAAGTGCCTTACTACTAGGAACAAGAAGCTATTAGACAATAAGCTATTAGAAACAATAAGCTACTAGGAACAAGTGCACCGCTTCTAGTAGCAAGTGCCTTACTAGTAGTAACAATAAGCTACTGGACAATAAGCTATTAGAAACAATAAGCTACTAGGAACAAGTGCATCGCTTCTAGTAACAAGTGCCTTAATACTAGGAACAAGAAGCTATTAGACAATAAGTAAGCTATTAGAAACAATAAGCTACTAGGAACAAGTGCATCGCTTCTAGTAACAAGTGCCTTACTAGTAGTAACAATCAGCTATTAAGCAGCTACTAATTAATTTTAAATGGACAGTGGGACTTGGACTTTTTCCTCCAGCTCAGAGAGGTCCAAGTTCTATCTCTCAGCAGCAGCCAGAGTTCTGCTTCTTTGGTGAATGAGTTGGTGCCGTCTTCCATGGGTCAGCAACGACGGTTTCAAACGGATTTGAGCTGCCATATTGCTCCTGAGAAGTGACTGACAGCAAGAATCAGCTGCACCAAGATGCAGCTCACAACAAAACCATGGTGTGTGTGTGTGCAGTTGAAAGTGATGCCGTCCAATCCTGATACTTCTTTTCGGCTGTGAAGCCTGCTGCGCTCAGGCCCTTGAGGATTGGGTTGGACTCTGGATCCCACCCTTCAAAGGTCCTGCTTGGATCAAGGTGGAATTGATTTCAGCACTCATAAGCAATGCGAAGCAGTTTGAATGAACCTGAACTTTAAGTTGGTCGTTGAGTGGCCTTGCAGTTGCACGAAGTGCAGCCCTGTCCTGCCCAAAGGATCAAAGCTGCCGAAGGGTTGTTCGCCACGCGAGACTTGGTAATCCCTATACAAATGCCATGCGAGCAGGGCCCCCAAGAGTTCAGTACAAGGCGTTCCGATGCCTCACGCGTTGCATTGACAGCGGCATGGTTCACCCTTGTAAAATCGTATCTACACATGGATTCCAATCATCCGTCAATCAGCCATGAAGTTGCTGCGGTCTAGGTGCGGACAACAGTAGAGAGAAGCTCAAGCTTGATTAAGCCTGTGGCTACTGGGATGATGAATCCCAAAATATCCAGCAAAGTACCAAGAGCGCAAACAGCCCCCCAGAGTGATATGTAGGTAATGTGCATCTCCTGAGGTCAGGTTGAAATCTGGTCTTGCCTATCATGCGAACTGCCTCCAAATTAGCACACCTTGCTCAATCGCAAAGTTGCATAATTACACAAGGCCCAACCGGGGAGCATGGTACCAGGCGTAGTACCCCACTCCGCAAAGCAGTACCATCCAAATGCAGCCCAACAGGTCAAGCAGCACTACACCACGTAGCACACAAGCAGTGACCTGAGCTGAACACAAAGCAACTCACCTTCTTGAGGCAAGGCATTCAGTGAGACGGGTACGGCACAAGCACGTGCCTGCAGCACGAGGATGACATGGATCCAATGCTGAATGGTCTTCGCCTTCAGCCACAGGCCAAAAGTGGCGTGCATCGGGCAAGAACCGTTCTATCGGTCCTGGTTGGTGAGTATTGCTGTATTGCTGGCTGAGGCACATATTGCGAGGGGGGACCAACTTGCTGCGGGAAAATTCCTGAGAGGTCGCCTGAGGTCTGAGCACAAATTCACTGGAACCATGTTGAGACCAAAGAAGGCTCAGTTGAAAAGCTTTGACAGCCTCTGGCCTGTGACAAGTGAGGCGGCCGGTGAGGAGCTGCTGTTTCCCATCGAGCAAGCTTCAATAGGGCGGGATGGCAAGTGCCAAAAGCAGCTTGGGCCAAAAAGAATCGAATATCCAGGTTCAGCAAACTCAAACATCCAGCAAATCCGTGGGCATTGTCATGTATGTAGCCTAGGATTCCTTGAGATGACGTTGACGTTCACAAATGCAATATTTCAAGCTCAATAATCCCCCATCCTCGTTGTGAGTCTCAGCACGTGATCTCATGCTACATTTCATGGCGCTGAATTTGCTTCCAAGCCACAGCCTCGGGTGCCCAAAGAACCTGTGACTTGACCGCCACGATTGAAGTAGGCCTCCCCTGTGAAATTCGAGAGCGCAAGTCTGTGCATCTGCAATGATCTCGATGCGCTTGCTTGGAGACGTCCGTAGCCACTCTTCGAGGGCTCAAACGCGCGAGTTTTGAGCCCAAAGTCCGAGCAAATTTGCCAAACATCAGATGGCTCATCCGGGTTGTTACTCTTTGGCACGGGTGCAGCGCCCACATCCCAGCAGTTGAAGTCAGCAGACTTCAAATTTGCAAGAACTTGGTGAAGAAAAGGGTCCACTGGGCCAGAGAAACCCGCGAATTCTGTGCGCAAGTTCTTGAGGAAATAATATGCTGCAAATGCTGGCGCTTGTGAACCGCCTCCCAGGATAGCCTCCTGGAAAATGTATTCTTGACTCCTCGAGGACAAATCAGTCCAAAGTGAAGTTGAACCAGGATTGAAAAAGTTGCTAAACAACGAACGGGAAGGCTGGTCGGCTGCAGCCAGCTCAAGGTTCACAATGTCCTGGATATTCTCCTGCAATTGATCGACTGATGGTGCTACCAGCTTTCTTGCTATGAGCTTGTGCCAAACGTCAGTGTCTGTTTGGCCGGGTGTCCCAAGCATTGAAAGCCGTGCAAGAAGACCAAAGATTGGCCAGCCAGAGCTGATGATGTCCGACCAATTTCTCAGGAAAATTGCTTCACGAATTAACTTTTCTAACCAGGCCGCTGTCTCGGCCTGCTGTGAGTGCTGAGGCAGCGCCCTCAGCATGTCCAGGAGGAAGAGTTGGATGGCAAGTACTCCCAAAGGACATTCTGCTGGTGCTCCCGGCATCTCCTCTAGCTCCAAGGACATCTGAAGCAAAGGTCCCTGTTGCATAGAAATCTCCAAGGATGCTCCCCGCACCCTATCCCAAAGAGCTTTCTTCGTAATCTGCCAGGCAGAAAGTTGCTTTCCCATAAAAATCTCACAACTGCTATCCGAACCCCCCTTAACCGCCAAAACGCATGCAGCAGATGAAATCCACCTGATCTGCATGGCCACCACGATTCGGCTAGATATGCAGGTGATTCTCCGGCAAAGCAACTTCTGCACGGCCTTTTACCATTCCAAGGAAGGATACTGCAGACCCTCGTCACCATGGCAGGACCTTGAACAGTGTGAGCATGTATACATATAATATGTGTATACAGTATACAGTATTACAGAATATATATATATGTATATGTGTGTGTGATTGTGTGTGAGGAATCTATATATATATATGATTATATATGTATAAAATAAATATGTGTGTGTGTGATTGTGTGTGTATGCATGTGCATGTGTGTGTGTGTCCGTCTGTGTGGTGATGCTGTCTCAGAAACACTGGAAATGGAGCTTCCTATTTCCTGCTGAGGAAAATGTTGCGTACCAGACGTTGGACATCATATGAATGCATAACATTAGGGCTACAAGAGACAACAATGCAGAATGGAACATAGGGTCAAGAGTGAAGCGACAACAACCAAATGTAAACAGCGCAAATCAGAAGCACAGGATCCCTGCGATCGGGAAAACCAGCACTGCAGCGACGAGGCCACTAGCAGCCCACGCCGATTCTGCCTAACAAGTTCATCCCCTTTGGAAAAAACGAAGACATTGCACAAAATGTGCGTGCCACTCCTTGAATGCCAAGAGGGAATGTTGAAGAACAGCTAAAGCCTGCAGCTGCAAAAGCTATTGGCACATAGGGGGTCAGTCTTGCGTCAAGTGCCACAACTTAGGCTAGGGGTCAGTCTATGCGGCTCCCGCTTTGCGAGTTGCATGGAATCGCATGTTCATGCTGTTCTCAGTGCCTCCGTCGCAAAAATGGCAGTGATAAAAATGCCAGCCTCGGTTTTGCCACAGAATTTGTACCAAACTTAGGAGGAAGGTCGCTACTAGGGGCTCCTGGCCTTACTGCTAGGATCGCTACTAGGAGCACGGACGCTACTAATGGTGAAGTCCCAAGGGTCAGGCTCGACGAACCCGGGTCAGTCTTAAATGAAAGTAGTTCCAGCCAATCACTAGGTGATTTCGCCTGGCCAGAAACTACTCATCTGCAGCCTTGAAAGAAAAGGCAATCCAAAAGCCCGAAACCAAGACTGCCTTTTGTAAAGGCTTTCAGGAGGCTTCCAAAAGCCAAGCCGCCTGATCGCTTGAAAAATTGTGCCCAAAACTTTCTCCTTCGGGTCGTCCCGATCCTTATCAAAGGCGGGGTTGATTCAGGATTGATTGGAAGGAAACCCCACGAACTTCTCATTTGTTGCAAAGGCTGTCGCCCTGCTTGCACTCAGCTTCTTTCTGCGGGAAGAGGGGTTGGTCTCCCAATGGACCTTGCCACCTGAATCCCACTCCAGAGCTAAGTTTTGGACAATCACTTGCGTCTTCAGACTATCGAGCGGAGTGACCTGCAATGAATGTGCCAAAGTGTTCGTCTAGACGAGTCATCGCTTGAATCTCTGCAGGGAGAGCTTTGTTTGCTGCATCGTGCTCGTCAACGTAGACCGACACCATAACCTTATGAGAGCAGTTTCGTGCCTCGAACAGGCTTGATTTCTACCAATCCAATCCAGAGTTAGCTAGGGGCAGCACAAAGCCAGCACAGGCAACCAGGACCAGAGTCTCGGCGCAGCCCATAGGGCATCTTTATTGGTGTGGACAAGGTATGCAACTACAAAAGGCGCGACTTCCCCAAGAGGCAAACAGCCGTGACGACGTTGGCCGTGGTGGTGAACTCTTCATCATATTGGCCTGGGCGTCGGCTCCAAATGCAGTGCGGAGACTATTCTGGAATCCATGAACCACCGAGTACTTCCTCTACACTGGTGCTTCTCCCTGACACTGTGGCTCATACTCAAGAATTCTCCCGGCGTCTGCTGGACAATCTCAAGCCTCATGCCGAGCTTGATGCTGCAAATCTTTGCAGCTCTCATTCACAACCTTCAATTGTCCAAATTTTATGTTGTAACATGTTAGTCATAACCTCGGTTGCCGGAAGCACTAGTCACTATATACACCAAGTTGGGGTCCAGTATGCCAGACTGCTGAGGGGAGCTCTCTGATGCAAGATTGTCTGCCAAAATCGCAAAGTAGTCGGTGTGCATGGTGACGCACGAGTCCTGCAAGGATGAAAGACTTGAGGGTGCTCTTTTCCTGAGGAAGTTTTTCGCCTCGTTAAAGATTGAACCACGTGAATCGAACGTGGCAGCACTGAAGTTGCCGTTTCCAAGGTCGATCCAATAGCAAGTGGACGGGTTCCTCAGCGCCGATTTTGCTGGGACTAGGGTTCAAACGCAGCATGGCAAACAAGCTGGAAAAGCATCCGCAAATAATACGCGCAATATAATAGCACGTAAACGACATGTGGTGTCTCGGGGTCAGAGACGAAGGTTTCGACTGAATCTCAAGGTGTCCATGTGAGCCTGATATAGCAATCTGATATCCCAAGGTGAGTAGAAACTGGCTGAAAAGGGTTTGAACGAAGCCTTCCGTCCAACGTTGTCATGATCAAAGGTCGGGTAAGGTTCCCGCAACACATTGCCAAAGTTTGTTGCGTCATACCTCCGACTGCACAATGGAATCTCTAAACGTGATCTGTCAGCTTTGAAGCCCCTTAGGATCTCTTTAGACATGTTCGGGCCAAACTACATATAAAATCATATAAATTGGGCATTGCCCCGGCAAAGTAACACTGACCACAAATCATATCAGGAAAAAAACACAGCAGCTTAGCCATAGTTGGCATTAGGATGACTTTCATTTGCCTTTTTAACGCTGGCTACAATAGTCATGTACCACAAGCCCCTTAAGTGAATCTGGTGCCCATTTTCATCTGAGCGCATCCACTCGCAAAATCATCGAAAGTTTCGATGCACTCAAAATGGTCTGGGAGTTCTGCCAAAAAAAATATGGCAGGGGCTGGCTCTAGAGGGAGGCCTGGCTGGCCACCAGAATTGTGGGCTGCCCCGGAAGCTCCAGGCCCAGGAGGGGGGCCTGCCTTACAAAACAAAAAGAAAACTGGTGGCCCGCCCCCTTTAAAAGGAAAACGAAAAGCAACACAACAAAAACTAGATGACGAGTGGCCCGAAAGGATTTTTCATCATGTAGGAAGTCAGAGTGTGAGTTATCTGTTAAGTGTTCAGTGTGAAGTGTTAAGTCGAGTGAGTTGAGGCAATGTGTGGGTCTCTGTGTGTGTGTATCTATGTCTGTGTGTGTATGAGTCTCTGTCTGTGTGTGTGTCCGAGTAAGTTGAGGCAGTGCGTGGGTCTCTGTGTGTGTCAACCTCTCAAGAGAGCCGGGTGGTCGGGAGACATGACTCAGTTGCAGGGGCGCCAGAGCAGCCGCGAGAGATGACTCAGCCGCGAGAGATGACTCATCCGCGTACTAAAGTTGTACTAGAAAGTCGCCAGATCTCATCTTCCAGCTCTCCAGATACTCCGCCTACTAAAGTTGTACTACAAAGTCGCCAGTTCTCAGCTTCCAGCTCCA